AATCTTGGGTTGGTTTCGGTTTTCTTGCGTGAAAACCGAAACCAACCCGACCCGAACCGAACTAGTATTCTACTAGTTTGGTAGTTCCTACTTCCTAGTTTGAGTAGTTTCCTAATTCTTACTAGTCTTCTACTTTTAGACTTCTACTAGAACTAGAACTCCCGAATGCCCATTAGGCAATTACAATTAGAATTCAATTAGGTGTTCTTTTTTAGTTTTTTACCTAGATTAGAATTTAGAAGGTTTCTAAATTTTTATTTTATTGATTTACCTACCTAGATTTACCTAGTTTTTTACTCTTATAAGGTCCATTATTGACACTTGTTTTTACATGAAGAATTTATTGATTTTATTCTTTACCTGAATTAAATTTAGATTTATCTTGGACTCTTGAATATCAAATTATCAACTAATTCAGATTTTATTTGGCTTTGTACAGGAGCAAAACCGAAACCGACCCAAACCGACCCAACCCGACTCAAACCGACCAAGTCGGTTTGGCCTGTCAGTGGGCCGGTTTCGGTTGCCACCTTAGTTAACCCAACCAGGTTGGGTCGGTTGGGAAAATCCCAAGAAACCGACCCAACCCGACCCGTGAACACCCCTAGTGGAAGTGTGTATTTGCATAACTTGTGATTAGTTTAGGGGTTAATGTAGCACAAAATGAAATTTAAGATAGTTAAGCGAAACCATAGCATAAGGAGATATATGGAGTTTACCTAACGTTTTATCGGTGGTTTGATTCCAGTGTTTGGTACTGTGGCCTTTATTTGTAGTTGCATTTGAGGCATAGTCAGGAACACACTACACAATTATGTTTCAATAAATTTTCCACCTCAACTTGATTGTAGAATAATTCATATTCATATTTGAGAACATCTCCCGTATTTACATGTTACATTCATGGGGAGATTAGTACCTTGTAGTTCTTGGTTACCTTATTAAGTGCCCATTTGATAAGTCTTTTTCAGAAGATCTGTTGCAAGATCTTAGAGTTAAAAGACATGGTGAGGTTTTCCAAATAGGTCTTGGAAGACTAAAAGACTGGTTGAAATATTTTTTATAGATCTTCGAAAAGACCATGACAGCTAGTAGACCGTTTGGTAATGTGAGGAAAATATGTGTTATATATATGTGAATGTCTTATCTGTAAGCTAGTAAAACCTTTCATTTAACACATGTGGAGCCCACATACATGTTTAAATGTGCAATGCATAATTGTGGGCCCCACATACATTTCAACATATGCATAATACATAATGTGGGTCCCACATACATTTCAACATATGCATAATACATAATGTGGGCCCCATTATTTGGTTATTTTGGATCATTTGACTCATCTTCTCAATATTTGGTTATTTTGGATCATTTGACATCAATATTTGTTAATATCAAGTAGCTTTGATTTGGATGTGGTTGATCGTTTTTCAGACTACAAAAAGCCTCACTCTTATGTCTCATATCAGAGATTAAGAAGAATTAGGCCATGTTTGGATATACTTCTATTTTTRTACTTTTAAAATATACCAAAGTATAAAGTACATAAAATACTTTGGTCTTTTTGTTTGAAAACTATGTGGGTAAAAAATTTTGAAAAGTATGCTTTTCAAAACAGAAATACCATTTTCTATTTGGAAAAAGCACATCCATTCGTGCTTCTAGTGATGGTTTCTGGTGGTTTGACGGTCTGAGACCGGTGGTGACAATCCAACTCCAACAGCGGCGAGCAAAGATGGAGACGTAGAGTCAAGAGTTTTATCGAAGGGTGGTCACACATGACCCGCCGTTCGCACAAAACAAAAGCACTATTTCACCAAAAGCATGAAGTATGAAAAGCTAACTTTGAGCTTTTGGTGTTTTTGGTACTTTTATAAAAGTATGCTATATGGTGTTTTTATGAAAGCAGAAGTTTGAAAAGCACTAAAAGCACGAAGTCGGCTTTTCATACTTCATGCTTTTGGCAAAATAGTGCTTCCATTTTGTGCGAACAGTGGGTCACATGTGACCACCCTTCGATAAAACTCTCAATCCTACCTCTGCTTGCCGCTACTAGACCACTACTAGAGTCGGACCACCATCGCAGGTCTCAGATCGTGAAACCACTGAAAACAATCACCAAAAGCACAAATGAATGTACTTTTGCCAAACAAAAAATGGTACTTCTATTTTGGAAAGCATACTTTTTTATTTTTTTTTTATTTAAAATGGTTTTCAAAGCAAAAATACCAAAGTAAAAGTATTTTATGTACTTTGTACTTTGACATTTTAAAAGTATAAAATAGAAGTCTACCCAAACAGGACCTTAGTCTTCAAGAAGTTTGCTTTGTGGATTTGAGATCATGTTGGTAGTGTTCTCTTCATTCAACGACTAAACTTGAATGAAAATAGCTCTTCATTCAACGAATAAACTTGAATGAAAATAGAAAAAAACCAAAATATTTAACGTTTTGAAGAAAAGGGTAATTTTGACATTTTCAAAAAATGTAAGTCGCACATGTCATTAAGTGATGCAAAAAATTCTACTAATGATAGGTACTAAATTGATAGTTTTTGAAAGTTCTAAGGTTACATTGGCATTTTTTGAAATTCGGGTACTAAAGTGAGACTAGCCCCAGATTATCTGTAATTTACCCTTAATTATATGACTAAGGGGCCAATTGATAACCTTGAATTAAGAGGGGATCAAATGAGTACCAGATCCTCAAATATTTTATTACTTAATTATCTTATCCATTAAAGGTCCATTCTTTTTTTTTTGGTTTTAAGAGGGAAAAAGTTGGTAATGGGAACCAAAAAATACCCATGTTCTTTTTTCATATTATATGGGGTCCATGGAAAATTTATTTTTACTGGGTATCACTTATCTGAAGTTGCCAAAACTTGGATGAGATAAAATTGCCCCTTTTAATAATGGCCTTTTATGGCTAAAAATCTAAAACAATCATTTTCTTATTTATCTGGGAAATAAAATAACATGGGTAAATGTGCTTACCTAGTAAGTATTTCCTAGGAACCTAAAGACAAAGTGATATGTCATTGAGTTTAGCTACATCAATCACAAATCACAGGAGGAAATATTAAAAAAAAAAAAAACTAAATAAACTCTCCCGAGTGCGACATTTTTTATATTTTTACATTAATGGGTACAACCAAACATGAAGTTTTTCCATTTATACAGAAATGCTAATGAAACAATTTGCTTCATGGCAACCAAGCAGATAAACACCACAATACCAAAAACTATCTTCACTTGAATTGCAGCAACAGTGAAACACAAAGGTTGGGACTTGATTTCATGTGGGCCATCATTATTTAAGCTGCAAATAAAAATAGTTAAATACATTACTTGTTACGCCTCAATGCTTATATTCCCATGGTTGGACCCAGTGCTACATATTCAGAAATGAAGATTAGTTTTCTGCTTACCTGCACATTCTTGATGCTAATTGGTATTAGTAGGGCACTATAGGCTTGAATTTTCCAGAATCAGAAGAACCTTGCTAGCCAATGGGGATTTTACCTGATAATTGTTGTTTGAACTGATTGTCGTTGCCAAAAGTTGTGAATCTTGTGATATGGGTTTATCTATGATTCTCGATGACATAAGGGAACCTGATGCTATGCGGGTCTGAACCTGGATCTAAGATTTGAGCAGAGGGATGAAGATGGCACATGATCATCTAGGCAAAAGATCATTATGAGATAGAGTATGGATATTTGGAGAATGTGAATGGCTCAAATTTTGCTCTGTCAACATTCCACCCGAGGACAAGATCCAACCCAGAAAACCTGATATCTATTGAGACTTGGGTTTTCAGACCTGATATGTCTTTAAATAACCTGGCCAAAACTGCAAGCTTTACACCCCGAACAATTCTCCAACACCCATCCAATTTAGGGTGATTATTATAGAACTCAGCAGTAATAATGTTAAATGGTACTTTTATTTTGGTTTGCTTTGGTCTGTTTTTGGTTGTCCCCCACCCCCAGGTCAAGTGACTATTGTATTTTCTTTTTTTTTTTCTTTGTTTGGTTGGTCAAGTGACTATTGCCAGACACCTCGGTTTGCTATTAAGCGAAGAAACTTCATGATACTTCACCACATGCTATCTGATGGATCTAAAAGTGCATTACTCGTATGGTTCAATTAGTAAGTCACCTCTTTGATGGGAAATTGAGAGAAAATGAGGATGGGTATGTAATCATTTTATAAGGAAACTCCGCAACAGTTTCACATATGTAATAGTGACAAACTAAAGATGATAATGTTTAACTCAACCTTCAATTTATAATAAACATGTTAGATTATGACTAGTACGTGACTACAGGAGTGACTCAAACAATTGCAGGAGAAACAGAGACTTTCTTTTATATCAGGGCAGCCATCAGAATGCCAGAGAAACCATCTCATTTGCGAGTGTGAGATGTTGATTTGATACATGCATTCCCTCAAATATACACATAACAAAAAAAGAAGTTGCTGACTGATTGTTGCTTCTTTTAATATGATTATGCATGGTATGATGAAAAACATGCCATCACATATCTAATGAAGCTCTGAGAAGCATGAAGAAATGAAAAGACTAGTTGACCATATGTATATTTAAAATGTCTAAAATATTGTACATGTAATAGAGAGGAACTCATGTTATAACTGCTTCCATTCCAAGGGTCAACCAACATATATGGAATCTTCTGTTATGAATGCTCACATGAGAATCAACTTCAAAATTGTATCGACCTTTCTGATGAAATAAACAATAATGAATACAGTAGAGATTGCTTTGACCATCCAGAGAGGCCTATGATCCCTTGATGTAGCTGAGCCAGAAATGAACACCCAGTAACATGATCAAACTCCAATTGGAGTGAGTTGATATCAGTTCTATCAATCATATAAATCCTGATAAATTGGTTTATTGGATGTGATCTACATTATGGTACAAATGCAAGAATCTGAGCCCTCATCATCAATGTCACTTGTATCGCTACAATTACAAACATGAGATCATGAATGAAGTTAAGATAATACATAAAAAAACGAGGAATGAAGAATGAAGATTAATGATCAAGCGATTAGCATTCTATCAACAACTATTCTTTCTATATCTATCATCACACATGCAAGATTATATTCTCCACTGGAACCTTTTCTTTTACATGTTCAAGTAGAAATGTTATGTTCATGAAGCATGAAATATTAGTTCTTTTTCATTCTAGATCTGACACAAGAAAACAAGATTTTAAAAGATGCATGCACTTCTTTTTCTTGAGACATAAGTGAAGGTTTACTGAAGTAGTAACAATGGACTATTTCCAGAAGTGTGTTATATGTTAGGTCCACAAACTTTTATAACACATAAAAGACACATCATTTTTGGAAGCTTTATCATCCCCTCCGGGGTTAAACATATAAAGCAATAAACAATATACCTCTTAACATAATACTTGGAAAATGCTAACAATTGAATACTGCTGGAAGATTGCAGATGTGGCTACTGGCAAGACCTCAAAAGTAGAGGGGTAAGAAGTACATCTGTGCTTAGGGAGAACAGTTAAATAAAGGAAAGAAAAAGAAAAATGTGATGTTGAAGCTGTAGCTTTACAGTCAGATAAAGGTCTCAGGGGAGTTTAATCTCTCTTTTTAGTTACATTGTAGGATAGGCAGTTTTGCAACTTCCTGCCAATAAAATGAAAAACAACAAAAACTAAAGATATATCTTTCCTTTATTTGTTCATAAGAGCCCCAAGATGTGTTGCCAACTGCCTAAAATCAAGCCAGAAGACTATTTATGGATTTTGGCATTTAAGATGTTCCAGTTCCCAGGAATAAAAGAGTATAGAGTTTGGACATCCATCTGAAACAGTGCAACAAAATGAAGCAGAATAACAATCACTTTTACAAAATCTAATCATCATCATAAGATTATTGCATAATCAAGGCCATTATCTGGATCACAATCTTGTAATAATATACAAAAGATATACATTTAAGTCCTCCACATTGAGCCAAACAAAGCTGGAAATTAACAGTATCCAGATGTTTAAAACAGCCATCAAACATCATAGTGCAAGGCATAAGAATTTGGAAAGGAGGAAGGAATACCGTATACTTCTAAGGAATTTAATGTACCACAAGGAAGAGATGTGCACCTTCAGTCTAAATGAGATTTGCCATTAAAACTGATATTTGGCATAACTCATTTTGAGTAACCTTACATGCCTTTTTGTTGTTTATGAATAACAGTTTCATTCATTAAAATCAACACCTAACTGCCCCAAAAAGTGGGCAGCAGGCCAAGAGAATACAAATGAAATACAAATCTAATTCATAAAAAGCTTTGAAGTATTGCAAATTGAAACCCAGCCCTGGTAATCCCCATTCTATATTTAAAAAAAGAAATAGACCAGAAACAAAGTGAAACTTGAAAGGGATAAAGGTTTGGATATAGATGGTTAGCAGGGAATTGGTTCCAAAGAAAAGAACCTTCCTGGAAACTGGTTAACCCTGCATTTATGAAAATGTTCCCTTTCCTATTAGGTGTGTTTGGTTGTATATGAAGGTGCTGTTAGAAAGGTGGTAAAGTCTGTAAGGGTCTATACCCGCCAAACCTTGGACCAAATCCCGTCTTCAGTTCTAAGGATTGAGAATGTACCCCATTACTTCACCAAAAAGAATGAAAGACATATGGCAATGGTGACACCAAGCAGCAAGATAGAAAAAAATTACCTCTTTGTACATGTAAAGAAAAAAAGGAAAACAAAAGATAAAGAAAACAACATCAGGTGTCCTCTTTTATTTCACTATGAGAACAAATACCAAGAAGAAAAACATTTTTTGTTGATAGTTTCCAAGAAGAAAGAACCTTCTTTCTCCCTGTTTGGCTGAAAAATGCATGAACATATCAACAAGAATTGAACTCCCAAATAATATGAAAAAAGAACTTGAGACGGATGTGCACATCTACATTATTATAGATAACCAAGGAGATTCTATGGTTGTAACTGATGTTTGGAACTTCTGTATGTACAATCTATGGACATTGTTCTACATATCAATTAGTGTGGACGGCTGTTGTGGATAGCAACCAGCTACAGAACACTATCACATGGGACAGACAGATATTCATTGTTGATTGGTAAGCACAGTAGATCTGAACTCAAATCTGCCATTGATCCAAACTCTTTTGATGTTTCTATATAATATGGTCAATGCATCAATAGTACTAAGAAAACTCTGCAATGTGCCACTTGCTAGCAACAATGTCATGGAAATGCTAGGAAAATGCTTGCTTTCTCAAGAGGGATTGGGAAAAAAAGCTGCATCCGAGGGAGAGAACTTTTGAAGGAACCAAAGTTCTGAATAATCTTTTCTACAAGCAGTTAACCAAAGCCTTCAAGAAACCAAAGAAAGATGCACAACACTGGAAAGCATTACAGAAGATCCATACATGGTTTCAGTTACCTATCCATTTAACCTCAAGATTTTGATAATAATTGACACCAATAAGCCATGGTGAATTTGGATAATAAACCTTTTGTTTTTATCAGTAAGAAGACGAAAATGCATAATTTATGAGGTAAAAATCAATGCATAAAATACAAGAAACCTTCTTGTTCAGATTTTACCAAGAGATTATAATGGACAAAAGTCAAAACATATCACATCGATAGAGGCACTGACATAGTGGGTAATTAGTCTCTGGTACTTCCACTAAAGAGATGTTTTGGAACAGTAACATCAAGGTAGCACCACCAGACAATAAAATGGCAGTGCTTAATAAAGGAACTTTTGGAGGTCCCCAATACATTAACTCCAACATCAGGTTTAAGACACCATTTACAAGAATAAAGAATCTCTTAGGGAAACTTTGGTGGCAAATTCATCTCATCCATTCATCATCTTCATATAATTATCCATGCAGCATCTCGTTTCCCACTTTCACTAACAACCAGATACTTGATATCAAGTGGGCAGGTTTATAACTGTGTGGTATCATTGTTGGATGTACAAAATGATTATTCAAGGACATATAACTTACATGGCAGAAAACAGTGTAGTCAGATTGTACTATGGTAATAATAACAACTACGAGGATAATGAGATAGCAATTTAACATTACTAGCACCATTACATTGTTATTCTCTCAAAGCTTGATAATTGTAATACTTGATTCAATTAAAGTTTCAATTCCACAGCTTTTGAAGAACATTTTATCCTTGAAAGGCTACCAACAAAAGCATTTTTGAACCAAAACCAATTCCACATTTATCAACTGCTTACGCAAAACCCAGTTATGTTAGAACATAGAATCAGAAGAGATGGTCTATTTCTAAACAGTTGATAAAATGTAATAAATTTTCAAAGACACATAAACAAATCTAATTTGTCATAGCTAAAAATTAAAACCTGAAACAGAAACATCATCATTACTATTTTGTAATGGAGTTAAATTAATGTTCTATGAAAAACGACAAAAACACTGAGGCTGAAGGCATCAATCACCTTGGTTGGAATTCCAAAACTTCCACAAGATTATTACCATTTCTATCATTCCACTGGACTTTCCGCCGTGCCTTCCTCGGCTTTTTTGACATTCCACCTCTTCGAGGCGACAACAAAGAGCTTGATTCATTGTCCTCGTCCCTATCAGAACGAATCACAAACTTTTGAGACTCAATCTTTGCTGATAGCTTATTTTTGCAGCTATTAGGGTTTGCAACTTCCTTGTCCATTGATCACTGAAGAACCCAACAATGGAAGCTGAGTTGAACCATCACCTCGAGAATAGGACCAGGCGATCAATACAGAAGTAAGTAACCACCTTCAGTAATTCGTCAAGCCCACCCAATTAAAGAAAACCCGGAATTCAGGAACCCTAACCCCAAAATCTCCCATAGGTTCCGTCAATTTCACAACAGCTCTCCTGAGTCATCTTATAACTGCAATACGTCTTCCAACAAGGCTGCAAATTCAATTCAGGTTCCCAACGTAAAACAAACCCCAACCCAGCAGACCTTCAAGGATCCATAGTGAGAGATACAGTTAGCAGAACACAAAACCTCCTAGACAAAAATCTGCTTTTTTTCCAGAATTTACTCAAGAATCTAAGCAAAGGATGCAGAAAGAAAATCATTCAAAGGAGAGGGTTTTCGATTGACTCAGAGGGACTGTCTCTAACAAATAACTAAAATGATAGATAATAAATTCAAAGGAAGCTTCAGAGTTCAGACTTCAAACAAAAACAAATAAAATATATAAATAAAAATAAAAATAATGGATATTATCATATCCAAGAAAAACGATAAAAGCAAAGATGAAGTTAGGCATGAATGACTATACAGTACGCCATTGACAGGGTGATGATGACATCTGATCTGATGGTTCAGACCCAAAGTCAAAGGTAGTAGAGACTTCTAGAGAGGCCTTGACGCCTTGTGTCGAGTGGGAACTGGGAACACAGAAAAGGTGGGTCCCATTAAGTTAGTGGAAATTTTCTTGGAGACCTGATGATCCAGATCTTACGGTTCACGTTATCAACGTATGGGACCTCACTTTGAGTATGTTAGTTAATTTCGTTAATACTTTCCTTTGTAGGCTTGTAGCGAGATACTTCAGCACGTCCGCAATTCAATGCAGGCTTTTCCTGAACGAGATCGGGCGAGAGATATGATCGCCAGTTTGACTGATGAGCGACGAAGCTGAAGCTGAAACTGAACAATACAGAAAAAGAACTGAACAATACAGAGAAAGGAAGCTGTGTAGGGGTTATCATTCTTGGCCCGGCCCAGCCCGCAAATTTCTAGGCCTGGGCCCAGGTTTTTGTGTGTAAGCCCAGCCCGGCTTGGGCCTGCATAATTTTCGTTCGGGCTTGGATCCAACACTTTAATATATAATATAATATAATATAATATAATATAATATAATATAATATAATATAATATAATATAATATTATATAATATAATATTATATATGCTATATATACAAGTATATTTTATTTATTTTATTTTATATAAGATATAAGAATTTTAAGTTTTAACATATAACTAATTTAAATATCAATTAGTTGACACATGTCAATACATGTGTGAATACTTGAGCCAATTCAAGCATGTAAATTTTCGTCTTAGATATGGCCTTCATTTTCATTGCCTAAGCAATGTGGGACTTGAAAAAATATTCAATGGTATAGCACTCTGAAGGGATGAGAGATCCATCGTATGGACGCCCAAATCTTGCGAAATAAAGGGGCGAATTTCAAAAATTTTTCTCTCCCTTCAACTGGGAATCGCATTCCTTATTTAGAAAATCATATTTTCAATGATCATTCTTGAACCATAAACTGAACCAGATCTGAACCAAAAGAAGTGGAGACCAACGAAGGTGTTCACGCCCAAGGAAGGATCCAAAGACTACTCCCACTGAAGATGGCGCAGTGCAGGATGGAGGAGAATCAGCAGTATTCTTCTCCAAGAATTCTGTCCTTCGCAAGAAACAGCAGGATGGCACGTGAGCACAACTTCCTATCAATTCTTTCTCAAAGAACTGATGTCAAGATCGAATCTTGACTTCTCCCACAACTGGAGATCGACTAGCAAACAGGGTGGCAAAAACAAGGAGGCGACAAGAAAGAATTCTACAGGATTGCTTAATTCTTTCTTTTGTGTTTTCGGCTCTCAAGAAGGATGTGAATTATCTCTCCCAAAGGCTGCCGCCCCTTTTTTCTCTTGTAACCCTAAGGGATCAACTCCTAATTCAATTAGGACTTGCTGATCCAAATCTGATTTAGATTAGACATCCCTTTAGGTGATAAGGATAAACCCTTATCTTATCTGCAGATTAGATTAACTTTCTCCTAATCTCATTAGGAGGTTTTTAGATCTAAATCACATTCAGATCTGGACTCTTTGAGTGGATAGGGTTAAGACCCTATCCTATCTGCTAATTCATCTCAGAAATCGCCTCATATTTAACTAATTAAATAGTCCAGTTCGAAATGGGCTTTA